GGGCTTGATGCATGTAGCTCAGGATAAGGTCCGCGTCAAAGAACTTCAGGGTTCCATAAAATATAGAGAATTTCTTTGCCAACTGAGGAATTGTCAGTTTCTCCACAAAGTCTCTGCTGTGTGTAGTTTAAATTATAACACCAGTTGTCACCAAGACATTGCTTTATTGATCACTAATAATGTCTGGCAGAATAGATGCGTGTTATAACTCTGGATGTTACCGAAGTTAGGAGCAGAGAATTCATGATTTTCTTGCTTAAGAATCGACCCACAGACAGCGAAGCACCGCTCTTTGTCGACATCGACTTTTGCCTGAACTTGCAGTAAGAAGTAGTTCTATACCCAACCGCGCCCTGGCAAAGTTGTGCATGTATTGGCTGAACCGTCTCTATAACGTGAACGGGCTGCTATGGTCATGCTCACGGAATTCGCTGTTATGGTTTATTCTTGGTCACGGCCCAGAGCTGAGGAATGTGAACCACAGCTTTCTGGATTTGACCACTCAGCCAGCATGCCATAGCCAGTCCATGAACTACTGCATACCTCAGTCCTGACGTAGCTTTATCAAACAATTAAGCATTTAATAAAAAGGTCTCCAAACGGAGACGAGGCATTCAAGTGCGACCGTCAACTCTGACACGAAGCTAAGGAGCAAAGCAAAGCAAAGCCTATTTTTCTTTCTTACTCTCTTATTGCCTTCCTTACATTGTTTTTCATACATTGTTTTATTTAATTCTTTCCTTCCTGTATGCTTACTTTCTTTTTTCTCTTTTCATACTTAATTTCGAAACATTTTACTTATTTATTCTTTCATACATTATTTCTTAATTTCCATCTACTTCTTTCACCCCTTCCTTCGTATATTTCAATAATAAGTAATTATTCTTTCTCGTTATTTCACTCCATAACATTTCAACACTGTATTTATTACCATGATTATGATCTCTGTTGTTGAAACGCTCCGACACGTGTTAGTGATGTGGAACCTCCAACGTCTTTCCAAATAAAATGCTTAGTTTCCCGACACTTGTCTATCGACATTGCTAATTAATGTTCTGTCTTCGAATAATGACATACGGTCACACGTGAAAAGTCAACTTTCAGTTGCTACAGCCGTCTTGTCCCAAATTTTATTTTAAAATAAATATGTTTGTTTTGCTTCATATTTTCGTGAAACTTGGTATCACGCTTTGAGGATAGAACAGAGATGGAGCAAGTCTAAGAACGGAGTGCTGATGAGAATATTGTGTCCAGGAATAATGAGGTAATAGTGGCGTGGGAAAAAATACATGATAAGTTTTACAGTTTGTAGGCATCACATAGATTTGTCAAGGCTCAATCACACGCAAGGAGTAACAATATTTTAAAGTGGGCTATTGGCTTGGAAACATGCCAAAAACTCGGGGTGTTTCTGTGTCGGGGACACGGCCGTGGGTTTTACGTGAATACGTCTGCGTTAGCGGGTAATATTTTCTTTGGGATATCGGAATGAAATGAAAGTAACGAAATGGCTTAAATCGACACATCTATACGAGATCTTTCGTTTGGCACCAAAATCAGTTCGCTAGCACATCGGAGTCTCGAGATATACTGCCCGGAAATTTTCGCCCACGCCAAAAATGGCCGCCAGTCGCCGCGGGCCCCCACCCGCGCCTCGCTCTTGCGCGGCGCCAACTGAAGGTCATGCTCGCATCGTAGTCGTATACCCGATCGAACGAGACCACATTTATTTGAATCGTGTTATTAGTCACGAAGTTATAGTGTCGGAATGGATCACCCTGCAAACGTTACATCGCCGTTTCCGTCCTGGTACCCCATATAGCGGTCTGACTTTAAAGACGTATTCACGTCAAAAATCACATAATAAATTTTTCTCGTTCTACCAGCCTTGTAAAGTGTCTTAATGTGTCTGAGGACGAGCATGAAGATGGTTCTGGAAATGGTGTTTTCTTCATTAAGCAACCTTACACCGTAGCCCGAGAAGAATTTATTATACTTTGTCGCCGTGAAAGTTTCAGATCATACATACTAATTCGGAGACCAGAACGTAGACATGAGAGAATATTCACCTTGATGAAGGAGGAAATAAGAACTTCTGAAATGTCGGTAGGCGGCGCCCCATACCAGAAGTCAGTAATCTTCATACATGCCACCGCGAGAATCTGAAATATCATCACTCCCATATCTGGAGCAACGTCCCACGTAAGTGGGCCATATTTCGGTTTCGCTCCTCGCCGGTAATTTGTGCACGCTCTGCCTTGCTACGTCACTTCGGAAGTCCTCAAGCAGCATAAGTGAGCGTTTCATTAACTGACGAAACTTTGTAGCACAACGGGCGTTTAATGTACGGTGGTCTGGCTATGAAGTTCACCTGTGCAGCTAATTATGATTCTAAACAAAGAACTTTCCAAGCGGATACAGAATAGTGACTTAAATAGACCACGAGTTAGTTCTCCAAAAGTAGGTTTGTTCTTTCATAATTATAGCAACACAGACTAAAATACAGTGCCTATGTATAAGCATATTGTGTGTGTGTGTGTGTGTGTGACTTGTGTCGAAATATATAGTTTTAATGGTATAGAAATATGATAAAATTATTTTTATAAACATTTCGTCTGAAACGCGGATATGCAACGGTTCAATAAATCCAGTTTCTTGTACGTCCGTGTTTCGCTTCAGTACGTTTTATCTTTTATCAAAATATGTAAGAACTGTCATTGATTGTGAAGGTTGGTAATAATTTTGGAAGGTTCTCTGTTGATAAAAATTTCCTTTAACAGTTTATAGTTCCAATACGAAAATACTTAAAAATAAACTCCTTTAACTCCTTTAAATGTAGGGTGGCTCACAAAGACTTTTTCAAGAATACTCGTGTTCATGTTTAAATGAAATATAAGGATTCAGACTCGTTAACTTATTAAAATCGAAAGGAGAGGCCATTATTACCGCGTCGTTGTAAGGGTATACCTTGAGCTGTTCAAGACATTTTCCGATTTCACTGGGACCTCTGTGCAACAATTTTCGGTCCCATTCTCAGCCAGCTTAATAAACTTAAGATATTCGATACCTGCACATCTGGAATTTATAAAAATCTAATTCCATGGAGCAGAGTCCTGGAAAAACTTAAATTCCTCGCCTGTAACGGGACCCGAGGTTACATTTCTATATTCGGAAGACACCCCACACCCCACTGGAATCTAACCTACAACCTCACATCCTGTTTTATTAATATCCATTCCAATTGTATTGTCCCATCTCTGCCAGGGTCTTCCAAGTGTTTCTTTTTTTCCCGTCACGATTTCCGACTAAAATTCTGCATCCATTTCAAAGATACATTCTAATAATATCCTCCCATCTGCATCAAAATGCTCCAATAACTACCAGGATAGGTGCGTTACATTTAATATCTTGTTCACGTGATTTGTGCGCCAGAACTTTCTTGTCACCTTGTGACACTGGCAACTGGACGCATTCCATGTTGGCCCCCTGCTGGGATGTCTCCGCTAATTGCCATATCTCAAGCTTCTGCGACACGTAATTGGGTAATTACTACATAAATAGAACTCGGCCGGGATCTGCTTTTACAGAACACTCCGTCTCTATTTGCTAGGGTAGTCCATGGTTCGGATTCTCACCTCGCCTGTCACTTGAACAGGAAATTACTACCTTCCGCCATTTGGACCTGAGACGTGCGAACTTTTATTAATTAAGTATTAAATTAAAGCAAATAGCTTAAATAAACTTAGTAACTTAATTTCTATCCAAGGAAATAAAATAACCATAACACTCGTTTCATGGTACTGGGTCTTCCTTGAAAATTTAAAACATGCTATTAAGAACATAATATAATTCTATATAACCACAAAGTGACCGTTCAAAATTTTATAAAGTAACAGATGCGCGGCCCATAGCACTGGATTGCAATTAACCAACAGATGCATAGTAAGGTAGCAAAAATAAGTTCCCTAATGCTTAGTTTGTAATAGCAGATAAATATGTAGTTTCCAATATTATTAAATTCTAACCACGAAAATATGGTTATGAACCGCCGTGCTTTCTAGACCAAGGGACTATCTTTAGCCCAGAAACATACATTCTGACATGATGTCTATTGATCGATGTATTAAGTTCTTTTGCCACTTATGTCCCGAGAAGAGAACCCTAAGTACCATTAAGCAAAAATCTGGTGTAGGCCCTCGGGTCTGATCTGGAACTGCTTTCTGCCAAGACAAGGTTACAGGACTGGCCATATTGTAAATCAGACTATTAGAAGACAATTAAATTCGACATTGTTAGTAATCTTCCTTATCATTTAAAGAAATGCTGTCGCTTGTGGGGAAAATATCGCTGGACTAAAACATTGCAATTGCACGAATTAGGGATGCAAGATAGGGGAGAATCCCCTGGGAGACTCCAAGAATTTTGGAAGGGAATAAACAGAGACGCAAGATTGGGAATATTGAGAATTGTATGGATTTTCACATTAGCAAGTTGGCGAGGCTGTTTGTAAATTACGCTGTTCTCACTTAACGTTGCCGACCAGTCAATCGAGTTCTTGGAAGGAAGGTGGCGTTAATTTCCTGCCTGACGGCGACTATCACGTTGGGAATTAATTTATGTTGCTGTGTAATTCTGAGTCCATAATTTAAATGTAATCGACGTATACAGAGTATGCCATGAACATTTCTGTTACTAAAGTTCAGAAATATTCTAATAAAACTATCAATTGCTAGTGTTATTCAATTACCTAAATTAGCATTAGTTTTATTTTTTAGTGAAATTGATTTATTTTTTCATTTTTCCCATTTCTGTTTTTCCCCTTTTTCGTTTTTTTTAGCTACTGTTCAAAATTTCCTTAAATTTTACTTTTTTAATATCGTGAACCTCGAATTATAACACATTCTTAGTTTCTAGTCGAATCATCTTAATATCGCCTGAGAGAATGTATTTTCTTTATAGCATTTGTTTGCCACTTTTCCAAGAGATGTCGTTGGTTACAGCGGAGCCCGGTCACTTGCTGAAGCTGGACTTCAGGAACAAGTTCGACTTGGAATACAGCAAAAACTGCACGTACGACTTCTTGGAGGTTCGGGACGGTCAACATGGCTACGACCAGCTGAAGCACAAATTCTGCGGCAACACCTTCCCAGATATTATCGAATCCTCTTCTCGATATCTCTGGCTGCGATTCAAATCAGACGATTCTATCGAAGGAGCCGGGTTCACTGCTGTGTACGAGTCGGTTTTGCCTGAACCAGGTGAGCTCCTCTAATGCTGATTCGTCCGACGCGGATAAATATACGCCTTAAAATAAATGCGGACAGTTATTTGCAGAAATCGGAAAATTCGATTATATACGGTTTGCCAAACACGCTGTGTGAAAATTATTGGTACTACAAGCTATCCCAAAAAGATGTATACACACATTCAATGAATGAAATGAAGATATTTTCATAAAATAAACCATTATACATGTCAACATTGGTATTAGAAAATCTAATACAGGTGTTCAAAATTACCACCGTTAACTTCGTGGCACAGTTGATCGATAACAAAATTAATATTCCGTATTATGTGTATACGTGTTTTTGGCACATTCTATATTAAAGAAGCTACAGACGATCGTATATATTGCAGTGAAATGTGTGTTTTTATACCAAGCATTCCATTTATTTTTTAATTTTAAAGCCTAACTTCCCGATGGTAATTTATCATATTACAGTTTTTCATAAATAATTATCATTAATTTTTATTTTATTGCTTTTACACTTTGATTTTCCATGGCCGCGTTTACGTATCCACATTAATCCCATACAATACTGAGTTCGTTCACCGCGGATTTACCGAACTCGCCACTTTCGGGGACGTATCCCCCCGCATTGGACGCGAGTTTGCTCTAGTCACTTCATGGACTCAGTACGGAGAGAAATTCGTATTGTCTGTAGTTTATTAAAATGGTCTACGTTAATTTTGTTCATAATTTATTGCGCGAGTTTCGTGGCATACGATTTAAAATATGAAAAGTCAGAATTTTAACGAAAGAATAAGAACGAATTTACGTAATAAATATTAGCTTGAAATTAATATTTTCTACGATTATTTTGGCTGGCTTGCATTTCTGCATACAGCGGCTTCTTAATCAGATAATGGCTTGACACTCTAGCGGACGTTACCAAATTGTGTGCTTCAAGGTCGCAAGAAACTCGCACCAACACTGCAGCAACGCTATCGTATTTGCCTTGGAGCCGCGCGGTAAATAGGTGGAGTTATTCCGTGGCCTTGAAACGTGTAATTTGGTGACGTCTACTAAAATAGATTTAAAATGTAGCCGAAAGATGTCAGTAGTGGAGCGGAGAACCTGTTGCTACGTGACGTTGGGTCGGGACTCGGTGTGACAGACATCCAGCCAGCCAACCTTACGAAGTTTTATTACTCTCACTGTTGAAGGTGGGAAGCTCGTGGAGATGCCCGCATGCAAGATCTATTCGGATGGATACGAGGGCTGGTTGAACACCAGCTACATAAATCCTTCTTATTTGGACAAGACGAGTCAGCTGACCAGACCCATTGACTGCATGTGGACTGTCAATGTGACGGAGGGATGGAAGGTAAGTGAAGCGTTTGTCTCTATCTGTTAATTTGTTTATGTATTTCTTCCCTACTGCCATTATTTGGTTATTAACCCTTCCTTGTGCGTAAATCTTATCTATTATTTAATTTCATATTGTTGTTCACTAGCTTCATTCTCAATGAGCAGGAATTTATTTAATTCATTCGTCCAAAAATTGCATTAGTCACTCATGTTTTGTTCAAACTGAACAACAGAGAGCCGTTTAAAGTGAAAGCGTAAGTATGTTTTAAATGGAACGTATTTCAGAAAGACGCTATTTTCCGATATAAATATTGTCTTCGTTTAACGTTCCTTTATTCAATAAAATAGTAGTAAAATAAATTGTACTTCTAAACAGACAAAAAATCAGACATATATTTAAATTACCTCTACTCAGTGCAACGTCTTATGATTTGCCAGTTACATGAATAACTTTCAACTGATCTGATAACAACACGAGAAAGGTAAATAGGTAAATTTCTTGCCCATTGTGGTATATAAATTGCCCTGTACTTTGAGCGCTATGCAATTTGTTCATTTGCATGCGTAAAAATATAAAAAATAATGCATTTGTGAGATAAAAACAGAGTAAATCTGATGATTAACAATGATAAAGCTACATATAGCATTTAAGAGCTTAATCGTGAAACATTGCGTACCGTGCAGTGTATTGAAAGAAATCATGCATTCAAACAAAACTGTTTTTACTTGAGAAGACATTTAGTGCCAAACTCGTTTCGACCTCAAGAGGTCATTATCAGGGAGTTAATTTGATTGCCACTGATGATGAGATGAAAAAAATAAAAGTTTATAACATAATCTTGATCAAGTATCCTCAAGGAACAAGATAATTTGGGGCATAGATGGATCATGTTAAATCAGACTATCAGCATTTCAAGGAAAAGACCAGTTCCATGTCAATTAGATAGAAAAGTTGAATGTATGAGTAAGAGGAAATTTTAACTAAAATCCCTGAAATAGAAACTGTTGCTCCAGTTACGACAAAAGGATTTCAATCGCTACTGAGGGAATGTTGCTAAATACTTGAGAACTAAATAGGACAGACTTTTCCTTATTTAAATACTGCGATATGAGAACTCCATCGCTTATGCAGTGTAATCTCCCCTGACAAAATTAAACTCTTGTTAACAACTTACTCATTCCCACACACACACACACACACACAGTCCACTCGCAGAGCCACGTGGCGGCGGAAGACAACATTAAAAACTCAATGCTTTTTCTCCAAAGCGTTGGTATCTACAGCACGCGAGAGTTAAGTAAATCCCTGTGACGTAAGCGGCCTGGGAAGTCACGTGTTGCGCTTCTAGCAGACCGGTAAACGTCGTGCTTGTAAACTTTACCTATAATATTTTAAAACACTGGACTTTATAAAGTAATAAAACAAATAGAGAAATAACGATACTACTTGTGAGAAAAATCTTTGTTCCAAAGATTGATCTCCACTCAGGAATAGGAGGATTACGCATGCGCGAATTACTTGCCTACGTCACAGGACTTTATTAACTCTCGCGAACTGTAAGTACCTGTAAGTCCATACGGCGTTAGAACCCAGAGGACGAACATTGACATACGTAGAAGAAATTCCCTGTTTTTTACTTAACTCGAATGTTTGTTATCGTGTTCACAAGATCGCCACCGCAAGTTGAATCCAGTAGTCTGTTTGAAGATAATATTCAGAGTTTTATAATGAGGAAATCACAAAATGCATTACTCATACTCCGTGATCTTTGTTGAGATTTAATTTGGGAACTTCTGAAAAACAAATCTAGAGCGATACCGCTACACTAGCCTGCTCTGTGTAATGATGGTGAATGATGAACTTTACCCAAACGGGAAGCAGATGGTGCATTAAGACGTTCTGTAGGATGGCCCACCAATCTCACGCACCAGGCTTATTACGCTAATGAAATCAAAGTTGTAAAGTAACAGAAACTCTGCAAACGCTCGTCAATAAGATTGCCCTAACGATCAAGCGCCATTAATTACACCAGATATCACTTGGGCTTATGGACTTGAGTCATCCGTGTGTATTTGTATGCATCGTCAGCACAGAATTCAGTTCAGATATCTTTACTCCAACTTCAAATGTTATCAAGTCCTGTTGATCACAAAGGTACGAAAAAGAGATGAAGTACTACAAATACATTCTTTCATCTACTTTCAACTATTGTACGTTATTTAGACGAAATTAAAGTACTCGATATTTCTAGGTGCATTCCGTATATCTACGAAAAATATAAACGTATTACATGCCATTTGAAGTAGATAACATGCAATGTAACTGAGTAAAATATCATGTTCTCACAGAGACAAATATAAAGATGTGTTTCCTCTCTCTGTATTCTTTATTTATTCACCTTAAAGATATTTTGTGAAGAGGGCCGATTATGTAGGTGCTTCGTATGTAATTTTAAGCAGTCATTTTTCCTTTATCTCCCTTATGTCAGATATTTTTTCTCGATTATTTATTGTCAAAAACTATCTTAACGTGAGACAGTAGCAAGTTTCATCTCAATATAAAGCAGCATGTAAAATTATAGGGTTTTATTATTTAAACTTTGGGTTCTTGGAGATGACACAGGAGGATGAACGATTATGAAGACAATGGAAACAAGAATTTTCCGAATTTAATCTGTTCTTAATTTTATTGCGAAAAGTATTATTATTATTATTATTATTATTGCTGTTGTTGTTGTTATTATTCCCCTCCGCTTGTGACTGGATTTTGTGATCGCGTTCCCCCCCTTTTTTGTTTTTAAAGAGGTGAATTTCTTAAACTAGCTGAGCAACTCATATCTTTAGAATAAAGTCTGTGTTGGTTATTAAATTTCGTTTTTGACGTTTTAAAGTAGGCCTTTTGTAACATTTACATGTTATCAAAGCATCTTTCGGTCTTCTGCTATTCTGCAAAGAAAATATATTATGGGAATGCTAAGATTGTAATCTCCTCAGTTATGCCGTTTACTTCTTTTGCATTCAAATCACTAGCCGCTCATCACCTCTCTTCCCCGAATCAATCTCCGTTTCTGCTTCGAGACGTTTAATTATAATTGAGTACGAATGAGTAATATCAAATCACCATACGTCTGCAGTCATTAGCGTTCAGCGAACTGGCAACAATCTTTTCTTTTTTAACTGCATTTTTAAACGCAAAACAGGAAAAACTGAATGGAATCCACAAATTGGAGACTTTGTTTTATCAAAGTGCCAGCCTGCTTCTAACGCCCCCATGGGGGTAACAAGCAAGTTCATAGACCTTTCGACTGACCGTGGAGTACTCCCTCCATCAACGTTTGAATGATCAGGTCTCGACGGAAAGGTAGAAGGCGTATTTAATAAACAGGCTCTCAAACGATATCTGCAACACGACTAGATCCAGGGCTCGCATGTATTCAGGACTACGAGCTGACATTACGTGGCAAGGGACTACACAAAACGGGGGTATTATAAGGATAACTGTGTTCTGCTTTCTTACAGATTCGTCAAGATGTTAAGTGGAAGCACTAGTGGACGTTAAGCAATTACATAAACGTGTCACTTAGATTAAATACTAACAGTTAACTGAGCAGTTACGGTTCATTGCATGGTGTGGTAGTAAAAATGTGCTTCTGACCATTTGTTTGTGACTACTGCACGTTCAGTAATATCTCTTTCCTTTTAGTTGTCTTTAATGTTGCTCTTACGATGTATTTAGAGCTCTGTCAAGCCTATATATAGACATCTCATACCTCTGTCCTTTAGTCCCCATGTGCATAATAGCTGTTCTATTCTGGTTTAGACGTAGAATAACGCTGTATCCTTTATGACATGCATTGCGAGACTCCCTGTATAACCGTTGATAGATTTGTATCAACTCGTAGACATTTCAGTGGGCTCGCAATGTCCGAGGTTTTCGTGAATTTCTTTATTCCCGAAAGGTGATAGTCGAGAAATTGTCCTGAATTATGCCTTTAACGTCTTCTAAATTATTGTCTGCTTGTTATTTATTTCTTTTAAGTCGATGCTGTTTATTTTGCGCAGGTAAAACACTTCGTAAAGTATTTCTAGAGTAATTAATCAATTATAAATTTATACATATTTGTTCAAGGTCTGTATCTGACAGACTTTTTATAAGGATAAGAAATTGCAAAGCACGCGTTTTTGGATGGAGCGTGTAGTCCATTTCGATTTCCAGTTTCCTCTGATTTCACGGGTTGGTGGATGGAGCTCTGGCCCGTGCCATTGTGGAGTTTCTGGTAGGTGGGGGTGGTAACTTGCACCTTACCCCCCTTCTATTTTGGTCAACATAACAGTCATGATCCGTGGGCCGCTGCTGGGCAGGTAGCCAAGTCAGATGACTTTAATGGGGGAGAACAATCAATGGCTGGTAATTCATTGGCTCACAGTACCTACACAGTATTTCCTACAGATGAATACTGCAGTCCACCGATCGATCTTTGATAGGTTTTGTTCTCTGCTGCGACTCAAAAGTGGCTTATCGTCCGACCAGCTCTGGGCTTCATTTAGTCCAGCGATTCCCAAAGTGTTCTTTCGCGACCCAGCATTTCAAATTTCTTCGCCTTACGGCCCATTTTGATCAAATTAGAAACACATTTTTTTGTTTATATACTATAATTATATTTAATTAAATGTGTGAATAGAGGAACATTTACAAATAAAATAAAATAAAAAGTCGTTCGAAATATTTACTTGGCTTCATTAACATTAATATAATAATTTTTATGTTTTGACTGTCGTAAGGCAACCCTTCAGAAATGCTCGCAATCCAACTATGGGTCGCGACCCAAGGTTCAGGAACCCGTGATCTAGCGGGTCTGGAACAATGCAGCCGGAGAGAGAGGCAGAACACTAAAATACAATCACTGCAGATGTTTAGTGGGATTGTAACTGTAATCCCCTCTTAAGTTACATTTCTGTTTGATTGCATTTTGGTATGGAAGCCTGTTCGTTGAAAATTATGAACGGACTGAATTC